TAGATGTGTCCTGGGGTGGTGGAGAGGAAGCCCATGAAGTTTGGGCTCGACTGGCGTCCTTGGGGGGATCAGCCGGTCGCCCCAAGGGCCCAGTGTTGGTCGAACCTTGAGTGGCACTTCTGGGGCCCATCTTTGGTGAGTTGTCCCCCCTCTTGGCCCGGATTATGGATGTGCATATGGACCGATGTTTTGTTTGGATTATGGGGCCACAGATCCTTGGGTATGTCTGTGTGGTAAGCTCTGATTGGCCATGAGTATGGCTCTTTGGTTGTTGTTCATGTATTCCTCTCCATTTTGGCCAAAATCCACCTACATGGAAATAAACACCAACACTTGTGGAATTTGTTAGAATTAAGCCCTACCACTATGTTGGATGTTTCTCCTGGGTTGCTTTTATGCGAGATTATTGATGGTAAAAGTGGTACTTGAGTACCGTCAACAACTCCCCCACACATATCTAGAAATTACAATGCATATGATGATTATGAAAATGACCATGTCACGATTGGGTTGTGACACTGAATGACGCCGCCACGCGCATGTCGTGAAGCAATGCTTCGTACTTAGCCCCATTGTTGGTGGCTTGGAAGTGAAGTTGAAGGACATAGCGGAGTCGGTCTCCGCTTGGTGAAATGTGTACCACCACATCCCCTCGCATTGTTGAGCATCAGTGAGTCATCAAAGTACATGGTCAAGTATTCTTGGCTGATGGAGGCGGGCGGGCACTGGACCTCTGTCTACTTGTCCACAAAGTCAGCGAGAACCTGAGATTTGATGGCAGTGCATAGGGCGTAGGTGATGTTAAACCCCATGAGCTCGAGAGCCCATTCAGCGATCCACCCATAGGAACCCCAATTGTTGATGATGTCCCCGAGCACGCTCGACATGACCACTACTATGTGGTGCTAGTCAAAATAGTGTCATCACTTGCTCTTGGTGATAAGCACGGAGTAAAGTTGCTCCTAAACCTTGGGATACCAGGTCATGGAGTCAAAGAGCACCTCATTGATGAAGTACACCGATCGCTAGACCTTGAGAGTGTCCCTCCTCCTTGCGCTCAACCACCAATGTGGCGCTAACTACCTACACCATGGCCATAATGTAGAGGAGCATAGGCTCTTTAGGCATCATTGACACCATCACAAGCGGAGTGGTCAAGAACTGCTTCAACCGATTGAGGGCTTGTTGGGCCTTTCTTTAAGAGCTTATATAGTGGCATCCCACGTTCGCCAAGATGCGAAATGAAGTAGCTCAAGACCGTTAGGCACCCTGTGAGCTTATGTGCTCCTTTGAGGTTCTTGATCAACTCCATATTCATGATCACCGAGATCGTTTTCTAGGTTGGCTTTGATATGACACTTGAAGATGATGAAACCGAGTAGTTTGCCTGACAGGACCCCAAAGACACATTTCTCAGGATTTAGTTTGATGTGGTTTGCTTACAGATTGACAAAGGTTTCCTCAAGGTCAGCGGTCAGCTGGTTGGCCTTCTAGGACTTGACCACGACGTCGTCAATGTAAGCTTCAAGGTTGCGCCCAATCTAACTTTCAAAGCATTCCTACATGCACCTTTGGAAGGTGACGTCAGTGTTCTTTAGGCCAAAAGGTGTGGACACATAGCAGGAGGAGCCGAAGGGGGTGATGAAGGAGGTGGCGTGTAGATTGGAGACGTGCATGGCGAGAGGGGTACCCTAAGTACGCGTCTAGAAAATATAGAGGGTTTTGCACCCTGTCGTTGAATCTGCTACTTGATCTATGCGCGGCAAGGGAAATAGATCATTTAGGCATGTCTTGTTAAGACTCGTGTAGTTGACGCATATCCTCTATTTCTCATTTTTCTTTTTTATTACATGAAAGGGGTTATCAAGCCAATTGGGGTGCGCCTCTTTTATGAAACTGACTGCAACGAGCTTAGCGAGCTAATCGGGGTGCATAGCCTCTTTTATGAAACTGACTACTGGACCGGTTTTGCACCGGGCTTTAGGTCAAAGAATGCTCTGTGACTTTCCATGGCTGGCATGTCCGAAGGCTTTCAGGCAAACAATGAACGTTATTCTGTAGGAAGTTGATGAGCGCACTTTTCTGTTCGGGGCCATAAGCTGGCACCGATGCGCATGCGCACGATCTTATTCGGGCAATCGAGGTCGACCCCTCCACCTTGCTGTCATCCGCCGGCCTGAAGGAGCTTGCCATCATTGTCTTCTTTGCGTCCGGGGCTTCCTCCACCGTCCGCAGCTTAACGTCGGCGACGCCTGTGGAGGCAACAATCATCGCAGCGTGATCGGCGCACTCCCGGTTGCACAAGTAGACGGAAGCTGGCTGTGCCGATGGTATGATATATATACTTGTAGTTTGTTCTTTGAGCACATATATATGACATCTCCTTATTCTCATCTTACAAGCTCAAGAGTTACTACTCATTCAAAACATTAGCAAATCTGTACCTTGGCTGCAGAAACTCGCATAGGAAAAAATATCATTGAAGCCGCTAGCATTGGCCATGGCCACGGGGGCGCTCAGGCAGCTCAGTGGTGGTCAGGTGGAGAGCTGCTTGAGATAGGGGGCGAGTTCTCTTCCGGTTGTTGCTGCCTGCAACCAAACAAGTACCGGCGCTTGTGCTAGAGTGTGGACTGCTCGCTGCTGTAGTAGTCTAGCGATGGATCATGCCCTGCCATGCCGGTACGAGTAAAAGGAGTAGCTTAATCACTATTTTCCCTGTTAATTGTAAAATAATAAAAAAGTGATAATTAGCTTAATCGCTATTTGCCTTGTTAATTATGAAATAATCAATTGTTTTACCTCCAAATGCAAGAATGACTATATTATGGCCCATTCATAGTATAAAAATCCTAGTATAGCCAGCTATAAGTCAACTCCAAGAGCCTATCAAAAAGATATGCCAAATTATATTATTTAGCCATTATTTAAAATAGAAAACTCACTTAAAAAGTAAGATACTCCAACAGGCTATCTAAATTTTTCGTTTTCTATAATTAAAACTGCCCTTCTTCAATCAGGTTCCGTCCAGTCTCGTGAGAATCCATCGCATGGCGCCCATCACGAGCCAGAGTCCGTCGCTGGTCACCGAGGCCACGTCCTGGCCACCCGTAGTCACCTGGCAGGGCCGCAGGGACGAGGTGCTTGCGCTTGGACCAGCTGGAGGCCTGGAGCCGGCCGTTGACCAAGGCAGGCAAGGGCGGGCGGCCCCATCGCTCGATAGGTCGTGTCGTGCGGCGCTTGCACGTCGAGAGAGGACGTGCCGGAGGGCAGGCGCTCAGGCGAAAAAGACGGCGTGGGAGAGGTTGATGCTACGCCTGGCGATTTGGCGAGCCAGCGGCGTCGTCTATCTTTGACAAACGAGATTTACGGAATAACTCGTGGCTATTTTTACAAAACAAGATAGATAATTTGTTGGAGGTCAATTTGAGACCAAATTATCTAAATCAGCTTATGCAATACGTAGTACCAAGTCTCTTAGAGTTGCTAAGCATGTGTTAGGTTTTGGGATAACATGGGTTGAGTTGGATCTGTCATAGTTTTTTTTAGGTTGGGTTGGACCTATCTCATGTTCATTTATAAGGTTGGGTCCATTTCAGTTTTTTTTGTTTGGTTTGAAGAACGTGCAGTAGTGGAATGGGGCACCAACACTAGGACCCATCTGGCAGCCTCCCATCTTCATTCTTCCTCCTTCCACTCGCCCAGCCAGCGCGTGGCTCGCCCCTCTAACCCACGACTCACTCGAGACAGCACGCCGCCGCCGCCCCCCCCCCTCGCCACGGCCCCGTGCCGCCCAGCCCCGCGCGTCGCTCAAACAGGCACACGCCGTCGTGCCGCCCACCTCGCGCGTGGCTTGGCCGGCTCTGCGCCGCCGCCGCCTCTGGCCGCTGCACATGGCGATCGCTGGGGCGGCGCATGGCCGCCATCGGGGCTGCGTGTTGCCGACGTGCTCGCCGCCACTAGAGCAGGGCGTTGCCTGCCTCCGCTGCTGTACGTTGCCGGAGCTTCTGCCTCCGCTCGAAGTGGGTTGAATCAATTTCTCCGTTTCCAGAGAAACGGTACTAACCCAGATCTAAAGGTAATATTCCCTGGTAGGATGAACCAACTCACACTCTACTCTCTAAAGCAAACAGCCTAAAAACATGTTCCACCCAACCCAACCTATTTGGATCATGCAACCAAACACATGCTAAGATTTTAATCTTATCCTGATCGGCCACAGCCTCCAGAATCTGCATGCGCTTGGTTCTACTTTTGGACTGCGGACTGATTGTGGAATTGCTTCTGGTCCGGTACACCCAGCTCGAGGCGCCTGTTCACGGTGGCCGGAGCCCGGAGGCTGCCAAATTTTTGCTCCGTCGATTCCATCTGGGCAGATTTCTATTGCTCGAAAAAAATGGGCAGATTTTTGTAGGCGCTAAATAAATTTCCTCATCCGGCTGCAAACTGACTCAATAGGATCACGTTAGAAGACGAGGCTAGCCATCTTCTCATTCTAACTTCAATCAAACAAACCGAAATCCAAAGCAATTCTGCCAAGTCATAAACAGGAGCCAAATACACTGAAACCAGAGCCCATAGCAACCATTGCAGATGTGTAATTCTGCCAAGTCATAAACAGGAGCCAAATACACTGAAACCAGAGCCCATAGCAACCATTGCAGATGTGTATAGCCCCAAACCACCTAGCTTAGTATCCTCTGAGGATAAGAAAAATGTAGTTATAGCATATAGCATTCTAAGACCAACCCAACAGCCTCAACATGTATACCGCACCATTTAATTAACACACAAATAGAAATTACATCAATTGCGGCTTGCCTTCTAACATCCTAAACTTCGTTGAGCATGCTCAACAGGACAGGATATGTGTTACAAGAAGCCCACAAATCAATGTCGTTGTGCCCTTTCCAAGATGTGGATACAAAGTTTTGTCAAACTTGCACATGAGCATGCCTAGCAAATCCCCCCACCTTCCTACAGTGTACTCCCTTGCCATTCCCTTATGCTCTCGATTCCAAGGCAAGGATAATCTTCTTCCGAGGACCCTGAAACAACACTCATCAATCATCATATGTTTCTGCAGCTCAAATTTATTATTCAGATAAATAAATTAAAACTACTCTGGTTTTTTATTATCTATACCTATCAGGAAAATGCAAAAGGGACAGCAAACTCCAATAGCTTAGCACACACCGACACATTTCCCCAAGCAAAAGATTACGTGTGTACAAAGTGATACAATTCATCAGAGAATGGACGACGTTCATGTATCATAGCTACTCTTATTTAGTTGTTCCCAGTAAGATCCGCAATTTGAGCTAAAAAACAGGATGATTTACAATTAAACTATAGATGTGAGGAGTGCAGGAGTCAATAATTCACCAATTTATCAAGCAAACTCATAGTTAGAAAACACAGATAAAGACACCGAATGTAAATCCACGTACCATTGGAATGCCCAAAGCTTTCAGATCACTGTCCGTCATATGCCTTAGGGCTGCCATGTCAACCTTATATAATAGAACAACTATTAACCCAGAAAAAAATCAAACAGGACATGGAAAAAAATGGCAATTCAGAAATTTAGTCAGACCTCCTCTGCCTGGAAGGTAATCGAGTACTTCTCAAGCCCAAGGGAACTCAGGAAACTGTCGAGTGGACTTTCAGCCTAGAAAAATGTCCCAAAAAGAAAACAAGTTTGGACTTAAACACAAAACAAAACACAAAATAAAGATGTGCGGCTATCCTGCAATATGCATCACATTCTCCAAATAATCAGATTTAGCTACTATCATGTACTGATAAGGACTTATGTCAACTGCTCCACATCTAATCAGAATATCATGATAGCAACATTCAGTTATTACATATATAATCAATTAAATAGGGAAGAAGCATTACGTAAAGCAATTGAATTGTCCTTGTTATGAATTCTGCAAACAGAAACCTAGAACAGCCCCTTTGATCAGTGATACATTTAATTTTTTTTCCCATGTGAATCTCATAAACAAAAAACACAGATTGCAGAAAATAAAAGGCATAAAGGATGCTTACTATTTCCTTGAAAGTATGTAACACTACAGCTATCTCTAAAATATGTCAAGATCAAACGCTACGCATAGTTCACAATGTTAATTAATGCATTCCCTAAACCAAATATTTGCTTTTGGGCACAAAATTCATGTTTTCAACTAGAAAAATGCAAATGCTCACATAGCAGTGGCTAATGGACTCTGAACTTCATGCACATAGTTCAACGTAACAAGTGAAAAGAAAAAAGAAAATAGATGTTACTGTTCTTCTATATAAGTAATAGAATGCAGCAAACATAACCTAAAGAAAAAGGCACCACATTACAACATAGTCTAAAAGGTCGAATCTTCTGTTTCAATCTGGAAAGTCTCGAAACAAATTTCTTCTAGCTTTTGGCGAACAAATGAAATTCAGAATATGAAAGAAGAGATGGAAATTATGCATTATTGGCACTATTCCTAGTAGTATACGAAGTTACGAACCTTTGGCTGAGATGTCTTCTTCGATGAAGTCTGTTTTGGTGCTTTCTTACTTTGGCGTGCAGGCATTTCATCAGCAGTTTCACGCCTTGAGATGTTAACAACCTCCGACACTGGCTTTCGCTTTGGAGGATCAGCATTTGATGGCTGTGGGTGCATTGTACCAGATAGCTTCTCACGTAGATCACGAACACCAGAACTCCTTGTGCTGGTAAAGCCTTGTTGAGAACTTCGCCTCTGAAGCTTCAATCGCAAATCCTTCGGATCTATTGATTCTTAAGACCCAGTACAGATAGGTAAGTGTTAAATGGGAACTGAATATGAAAATAGCCTTGCATATAATGACAGAAAAGATACTTGAAGCTGGTTCGTCATCTTCCCGATACAGATCATGCTTCCATTTTTCATCTATCTGCCGTTGCCTACGGGCAAACGATAATATGAGTGTCCCACAAGTTATTACATAGATAGAAAAGTTGGCACTAAGGAACTGCACACAATAAGAATATGTGATCCATTTAAGTTTTAATCTCCCTGGAGTAACCCTGGTTGGCGTCATGGGAGCCAAGGTGAGAGTTTTGATCTGATTTTGGTTTATTAGAATTCATAATACTGCAGTATGTTGGAAGCTGGAATTTGTTGACAGTTTAAATGAGCAATGGAGGAAATAGGATTTATTAACATTAGACTCAAACAGTCCAGTTAACAGCTCCCTGCCCAGATCTACATAATATAAAATGAAGTTTAAAAATGCTACAACTAAAAAAGAAATATCTCAGAATGTCATCAATGCAGACAGCCTAATAAATATCCTAAGCCCATTTATATGTGTCCTTAAAACTAGCACAGAATGACCAGAATGAACAGATAGGAACATGAGAATAAAATGAACTAGCAGATTGATGGTACAGCCATATCCAAGGAATTCTTCTTTCATCATATATATAGAACTAAAAGCACATCTTACCAAACATAAAAGGCAAAAAAACATAAGTGACTGATTACCAGTTTACAGATTAATCCACAATGCACGTCCTTCCCAGAACAACTTACTTTCAAAATTTTCACTAGTCAGCACAGACATGAATGATTTCCTAGATCTGCAGCTCCTAAAGGGATATTCACAATGCATAGAAAATCAACTGGCTGAACAGGAAAAGGGTTCTCTCAGCCACTGATAACTAACAAACAGGACTTGCCATAGCTACAGACGACTGTTACAGACCCACAAATCCTCGGGTTCATGGAAGTCCATGTCCCAGCTGCTTCGAAAGCAATATTGCTAATTCTTATGTTAAGCATCAGCAAAAAAACACCAAACTAAACATCACACACAGCACAAAGGCACCGCCTTCTTCCGATTAACCAAAACCCGCGCCCTAGCCTAATCTCTGTGTCAGCAGTTCTTAAGTACACCCCAGCGCACGAAAAGGGATCCTTCACTCGATTACGGACGGATACGCCTATTCTAACTACAGGAAAAGCGCGCACAGTTAAGACGGGGCAGGGCAAATTTTCCAATCTGTAGACATCCGCTGCCAAGAGATCAAGGAGGTGGAGCCGTAGCCGCGACGGGAGAGGAGAAAGCAATAGTAGCGGCGGCAGCGGCGGCGTGCACTTACCTCTTGGACACCGTGTGACGGACACCGCCGCCGGCGCCCGTGCCGGCGGGGAGGTCGCCGTCAAGGCGGTCGTGGATGGACCGCTTGCGCCCGGTGGAGATCTGGTCCGAGTACATCTCTCCGTTGGAGAGAAAAGGGACAGCCGCTCAGCTCTAGGGTTTCGAGCCGGAGCGGAGTACAGGCGTGGAGTGTAGGACCGTGGGAGGGAGCAGACGGAAAGAGAGCGCGAGGGCGGAAGGTAAGGCGAAGCGGGCGAGCGGGTTCGCTGCAAGTGAAGGATTTGTCCCATGCTCGTGTATTTATGTCAATACATATGTGTTAAAATAAATTAAAGTAGATTAAAATAAAATTAAATTAAATTTTATTCTATTTTACTTTAACACATATAGATTAAGTTGAATACACATACATCTCTTAATATGGATTCCGTGATCCGGCTCCTCCTGATATATAGATTCTTCATGGAGCCAGTTTTTCTCTTTTCCCTCTCCCTCTCACAGAGGCAGTAGGAGCCGCTCTCTTTCCTCTCGGGACCTCTTTAGAGGGTGTTTGGTTGTCCCTCCTAAATTTTAATCGTTGTTCCATACATGGAGTATTAAATATAGACTAATTACAAAACTAATTACATAGTTTGCGACTAATTTGCGAGACGAATCTTTTAAGCCTAATTAGTCCATGATTTGACAATGTTTTGCTACAGTAAACATGTGTTAATGACGGATTAATTAGGTTTAAAAAATTCGTCTCGTGAAGTACTGATGGATTATGTAATTTGTTTTTTTTATTAGTATCCAAACACCCCATGCAACATCCTCCTAACACATCTCCTAAATTTTAGTAGCTGGATCCAAACACTCCCTTAGTACAGATTCTCCTGGTGCCAGCTCCCACCTACCATTTCACTGTTGAGCATCGTTGAGAGAAATTTGGCCCCATTGGCCTCTCTAAGTTGGAGAGAAAGAGAAATTTTGCTCCAATGAACAGTCTCAATAGAGCGGGAGCTAGGAGAATCTGTACTAAAGAGGCCCTCCTTCTCACACCGCAAGTGGGAGCCGCTTCACCAGCTCCTACCGCCTCTGTGAGAGGGAGAGAGAAGATAGAGAAAACTAGCACCAGAGCTTCACCGGCTTCTACTGGCGATGTGAGAGGGAGAGGAAAGAGAGAAAACTGGCTCCAATGAACTGTGCATGTGTCAGATGGAGCTGAATCCATCAGAATCCATACGAAAGAGGCCATAAGTTATGACACCTTATCTTTACTTTAGAATCTTATCTCTACTTTAGTTGTTGCTATTTGTTTTACTTCCGGTCATAAAAGCATACCTCTGGTTCTATATATATGAACGAAGAAGCAGCCATGGCCAGTGTGGCTAAGTAATATAGAAAATTTTCTAAACATGTGTCTTTACCAATAATTAGGTTCATCCTTGTATGGAGTCATGTCTGTCCACTCTTCCTATGCGTCGGTCACGTCCAGCCAGCACAGAGCTAACGTTGGGGTGGCGGCAACCGCAAATGCGGACGTATTCGAAGCGACGCCACGCGGGGAGGCAAGAGGGCCAGAATGGTGACGGCCGTGGCTTAGGCTGCTGCTGTCCTACGCGTGGAGGTGGAGGACGATGTCGCGCGTCCTAGGGGCTCACAGAGCCTTCAAAGGCACCGCCATGTCTCACCATCGCCGAAGCATCATCGTGCCCGCCATGGCCGGCACGAGTCGCTAGCCGTCCAAACGGTGATCAAGGACTCTGGCGGGAGCACGCCATGGCAAATGCTCACCAAAACCAACTATAATGAGTGGAGCTTGGTGATGAAGGTGAAGATGTAGGCAAGGTAGATGTGGGATGCGGTGAGGTACAGTGACATCGAGTTCCATGAGGATCAGCAGGAGCTGGAGGATCTTCTCGCTGCTGTTCCACCGGAGATGGCGCCCACCCTCACGGAAAAAGGAGACCACCAAGGATGTCTAGGATGCCATCATCGTGGCACGCATCGACAGCAACCGCGCCCGGCCACCCAACACACAAGCTGCGCTAGGAGTGGGATTGTCTCGCGTTCTGGCACGGGAAGGACGTCAACGACTTCACCCTCACCTCTTTGGCCTGGTGCAGCATCTGACGCAGCACGGTGATGATGACATCGATGAGTAGAAGGCCATTGAGAAGTTCTATCATGTCATCCCCAAGAAGTACATGGAGATCGCCTTGGCGATGGAGATGCTATTGGATTTCTCCACGATGATGATCGAGGAGCTACGGGATTGTGCCGGGGAAGGAAGCCATGCCCCTCGGGCGCATCCGGCTCAACATTACCTTCGGCTAGCCAGACAACTTCTACAAGGAGACGCTCACCTTTGAGGTCGTTGACTTCCCCGGTGTCTACCATGCCCTCCTCAGTCGACCGTGCTTCGCTAAGTTCATAGCCGTCCCCAATTACACCTACCTCAAGCTCAAGATGCCCGACCCAAAGGGGGTCATCACCATCGAGGGTAGCTTTGACCAAGCCTACTACTGTGAGCAAGACTGCATCACCCAAGCGGCCATGCTCGTCGCCCCCTGTGCCCCCAATGACCCCAATCACGACGCAGGAAGGGCACCGATGGAGAAAGCGACCGAGATGGCGGTGATGCTCGACCGACCGAGCATCAGCAAGGCGGTCAAGGCCTCTGACGGCAACGGTGGCTCAGCTGGCCCCTCCATCCAGGTGCTCGGCTCCCTAGAAGGGGCTGACCCGATCGAGGTGAGTTCCAACCTTTCCCCATGAGGGAAAGCCATCCGCCTAGAAGTGACGCCTGCTGAGCCAAGGCCCGTCTACCGACCTCCCTCGCCGGTCTACCTCTCCAACAACAAAAACCAAGATAAGTCCTGACCCAACCCTCTTGCTTCACTTACCTCTGTCTACTCTATTCATTGTCTTCCTTGACCCGAGCCATCCCAACGATGGCTCGGCCGCACTGGAGGATCGACTGAGCTAACCAATTGCTAACCTTTTTCGAAGGAGGACCGCTATAGAAGGCCCCCGAGCAAGGTAAGGAAGGGTGGACAGAGCAGGAGGAGTAGGCGAAAGATCTACAAGGCGCTAACAAAGCGACCCCAGCCATCGCGTTACTAGCTATGTCCTCTTTCCCCTCTCTTGTGTCCATTCCATTTTCTTTAGAGATGTCTGCCTATCTCCTGATCCTTCATCGGATCGTTCCACCCCACCGCATGCCGGTTCAGGGGCCCCTCAGAAGGGGCATTGCTGAGGGTTCAAGGCCAGCCCACTAGGCTTCAATGTCGTTCGAAGCAACTAAAAGTGTGAGGGACGTTCGGGAGGCAAGCCCATGCGGCTATAGTCGGGGCACCTAGGAGTGCCCTGATCGTTTTGATGAACGATGTCCGAGTACTGACTTGAGCCGCTCGTGGTTACCCAACGAGGGAGGCAGCGAGCCCTTGAGTACTGATAGATGGGCTCGGGAACTATATGAGTGGCTCGGTCGGGAAGCCAAGGATCTACCCTTTGGGGGACATGACCGGGGCACGGAATGACCATAAACCCGGGGTTCTCACGAACTTACCCGCTAGCAGCATGAGCACGACGATTTTGGCCAATGAGGCCATCGTCGTAATAGCCCAGCCTAATGAGGGATCAAGTCTTTGAGCATGACTCAAGAGCAAAATAGGATTACACACGAAAGTAATTTCATTTCATTGATCGGGAATGACCCGATTACAACATATAGCGGCAAAAACCGCTACCGACCCACCGCCACGGTAGCAAAGGCCACGGTTGCCCGGTCGAGGCCCTCGGTCAAGCTTCCATGGCACGTAGATAGGCACAGTGAAGCTGGGGTCGACCCCACCTCTCCAGAGCTCGAGAGCTGATCCCCACTCAAGACTGGCGGCGCTCGGCCAACCTCACCGGTGCAAAGGATGGCCAAGCCCTGGGCCGCTGACTCGTCCATTGACAAAACGGAAAGACCTCGGTAGCCCAAGGTGTTGGGATCCTTCCCCTTTCTCAAGGAGGGGCAGCGAGGCAGGGACTTAATGGGCCTCGGCGTTGGGGAGGCGTTGGCACTGGTAACTCAGGGCAAGATCGTGGACGCTCAGGCCAGCGGTGGCAATGCAGGCCCCTATCTCTCACCCAACACTATGGTTTTGCAACTGCCTCAATGCTGTGCCGCTGGCTCCCCATCGCTGGAGTCCTTCCACCCTCAAAGAAGTAGTTGCCTAGCGGACAACACAAGGCTCACTCGGAGGGAAGCATCGCACTTCATTGCCACCGCCATCGCCGCTGAAGAGGATGGATCTGAGAAGAAGAAGAGGGGGCAGAGGAAAGGATTAAAGACTCCATGTCCCCTAGGGACCTCCCTTTATAGCCAAAGGCGGTGTGATATGAGTGGCTCTAGGACCTCCGATCAGCCATCGGCAGCTACAAAGGACCTTGGGAACCAGATGGGCATCCCTTCAATCCTCACAGCACGCCCTCCAGGCAGTTGTTGTGGGGGGTATAACCCTAGGTACCCATGGCAATGGACATGGGCCACACCACCAGGGGAGGTCCGGTGTAACATCCCTGATGTTAAAAAGTAATTAAAATTTTTATCATGATCATCATTATGCATAATTATCAAGCATCAAGTCATTAATGCATTTCATGTTTAATTTATAGCATGTAAATGTTGTTATGAAGTGTTTTATATGTTACATAAAATAATGTCAATAATTTAGGAGGTTCTGCCACAGAATGGTATCAGAGCGATCGTTACAAAGTCTTTGTTGTATTGTTTTACAAAAACTTCAAAATGATTTGGGACAAATAAATGTAACTTGTTAATTTGGTCCAAATTGCTTCCGACTTATCTTAATTCATTCTTGCCATTCCTTATTTGATTAAAAAGGCTCTGTGTGGTGGAGTAGTAATCTTATTATGTCCTATATAATAAGAACTATTGTTTATGTACCTTAGGAGCTTTGATGTTTAGTAACGTAAGAATCGTTCATGCATCATGTCATTAATGAAACATTGCACATATTCCAGTTATAATCATTCATATGCAGTTGAAATATAATGATGTTTAAAACTTCCTCCTTCCATTCAGGGAATGGCCTGTACTTGTTATAGTTATTTTGTCCCAAGGA